TTTTTTCGGTCATGTCTTCTATTTATAGGGTGGTCTCAAGAATCAACTTTTTGGTCTTGCAACGATAGCTTTTTAACAACTCACTTTGAAGCTAAAAGTTCATAGACAATCTAAGACGGAAATTTGATATACAAAGAAATGCATGAGAAATGACTCAAATAGGAATTTCCCCGTAAATCTGTGATTCTACCAGACTTTCAACAACTGTGAAATTCACTTTCAAATATTTCGATAATTCATGCAACCCAGTATATTAAGTTTTCAACAACTTATATGATAGAAAAAATGTATCACTACAACTCCAAAATGTTTAATTTTTTTGCGACCACTCGTTTAGTGTCTACAGTGTTGAAATAAAAACTTTTTAGTGTCTTTTTGTCCAACTGAGAGCATGTGGAACTTTCATCAATTTTGCATTGTTTCATATGCCACCTTGTAGAAACTTTATATGAACCACTAATTTTTCCAAAAACAGGCACTAGCCGTAAAATGATACACTAAATAATGCTTCAAAGAGAGATCAAATTGCTCTCAGCGGAATGTATCCAATTCCAAAATTAGTGGAAATTAGTCCGTGTAACACATATTTTTCTGAGTAGTTTATATGTGAACAAGGGTGCAGATTACAATGAGATACTGGAATATTCAGTGGAAAATGGAACATATTGGATATGAAAGTTACTTACTGATAACCAAGTAATAAGAAATATAAATATATATTTAATCAATGCGCATTAAGTAAAAATATACCTAATTTTCGAGATTCTGCCTCAATATATTTATTTGTCTGTTTATAGCTTGTCAGTTGAAAGCCTAATTTATTAAAATAAAATCAGTAAAAACGTTAAAAAAACCATACTTACGCACACATCTCGCTTTTCACCAACTGAGTATATTGCTGATTAGTTTCTGGCATATTCACAACGTACATCCAGTTGCCTTTACTATTAAGAGCGGCTTTCGGCATTATGTAGCTAGATCTGCTTCGGCAGAGAGACTGTCCAGTAACAGTAGACTGCCTTTTAGGGCGTAAAACCGAAGCGAAAGCTGTTCCGTTTAACAACGGATTGTCTAGATAATGTGATGTTCCATCTAGAGTTCGTTTTTTTCGTAGAGATCGTTTCAGTCTTTCATTTCTAAAAAATAATCGCAGAGTTAAATAA